CTCTCTCTCTGCCTCGTCTCTCTCTCTCCTCTCCTCCTTCTCCTCTCGCGTTGCTCTCTCTCTCTCTCTGCTCTCCTTCTCTCTCTCTCTCTCTCTCTCTTTTCCTCTCTCTCTCTCCTCTCTCTCTCGCGAGCGCGTCACGTTCACTCCCCCCCCCTCTCTCTCTCATCTCTCGTCTCTCTCTCTCTCTCTCTCTCTCTCTCTCTCTCTCTCTCTCTCTTCTCTCCTCTCGCTCTCTCTCTCCTCTCTCTCTCTCTCTCTCTCTCTCTCTCTCTCTCTCTCTCTCTCTCTCTCTCTCTCTCTCTCTTCTCATCGCTCTCTCGCTCTCTCTCGCTCTATCTTCCTCTCTCTCTCTCCTCTCTCTCTACTCTCTCATCTCTACTCTCCGTCTCTCTCTCTCTCTCTCTCTTCTCTCTTCTCTCTCTCTTTCTCATCTCTCTCTCAATCTGGTCTATCTAGCCATGCGAGGCGAGAGATATTTACGTAGGCAGTGTGGGGACGTGCGGAGTCTCACCAAATAGCGATCTTCATTCATAATTCATCTCTTTGATCTCGTCACGGGCTGTAAACCTAACTCACGGGTGTGGTGGGTGCGTGCGTGCCGTTGCGTGCGTTCGTGCGTTTGTGTGAGAGAGAGCGAGAGAGAGATAGAGAAGAGAGAGGGCGAGAGTGTGTATGTGTGCGTGAGAGAAGAGAGAGAGAGAGAGAGAGAGAGAGAGAGAGAGAGAGCGATAGAGAGCGCGCACAGCGAGGTGCTACGTTTACTAAAACAACCGTTAGACCTTAGACAGCTTGAGAGAAACATCGCAAAGTTAAGCGAATGAGAAAATTCGCGTTCAACGGTCTAATATATAAAAAAAGTACATGTTAAGACTAATGTTAAGACTAATTTTTTGTTACTGGGCAACGGCCACTGATCCTGAGCTAGGCGAAATCGCAGCGTGTAGTGAGGTGTGTCGGGGACAGTGTGAATCTTCGGCGTTTTTTCGTGTGAAAAGGCGCAGTAGGCATGATGATGGTACGGGTTCACAAAGTCCCGTGTCAGGTTTCGGTCAATCAAGCCCCCCTCTTCTGCTCTCACATTATGCTTTTACCTCCTTGCCTTGCAGGGCAAGGCACGTCTGCAGCTGAGGATGTATCAGCCAAGCAACCTGGGGTGCAACCACCTTGCCGTGAGGTAACGTGTAGGGTAGACATTAATGCGAGACAGGTAAGATTAACGCACGCAGGTTTGGATCTAACGTGGTTAGTTCAATATTCTGCGGGCGCGGATGGACGGAGGGGATCTTATAATAGCCGATCTAGAAACCGCCCAGTCGGGTGCGGAAAATTGTGCGCGCGTGCATGTGTGGGTTCTAGCGTGCTACGTGTGCGTGAACGTGTGTTGTGTGCGCTACTGGTGTGTGGCGCGTGCAGGCATAGGTCTGTGCGTGCGTGCATCCGTGTTTATGCAAGGTTTACGTTCTCGTAGATTTCTGCTGGGCACTGCTCTAAAAGGTTTCCCGTCAATAAACGCCCGGCGCCTCAGCAGGCATGATTTATACGCGCACACTTCACGTGTTTACATTCGGCCCGGCCTTTTATTTAGTAGCAGAACGCTCGGCGCTTTTTTGTGGGGCGGTTTTTTGTGCGCGTGCAGTCATCGTTTATCACCGCGCTGCCGTTATTATATGTGCTTGCATTATACGCCGTTTCACTAGCGAATGATATATATATAGGTTGTGTGTGTGTGTGGTGTGTGTGCGTGCGTGCGTTGCGTGCGTGCGTGCGTGCGTGCGTGCGTGCGTGCGTGCGTGCGTCTACGAGATATCCTGACTATTTTTACCCTACGTTTACGTTACATTGCAGTGGATTATTTGCCCCCTACGTTTACGTAATAATGTCGTGGAGTGCCTGTCCTAGTGTTTCTTGCCCCCTACGTTTACGTTTCACTGCCGTGTGGAGTGTCAGCAGAGGTCTGGAAAGGTGTTGACGTGACACTGTCCTTCACCCTTGCAGGTTCGTCGAGTGGTGAGTGGGGCGCTCCGAGTACTCTGATGTGCCCTGAAGGTGGTTTGGGGGGTCATGACATGGCAGCGACCTTTGCACTTGCATTTTAAGGTCGTCACGGGGTCGCAGTCATGACACTGGGATGACCTTCTCCCATGTTGCAAGGTCGTCACGGGGTCGCAGTCACGACACGGGGATGACCTTCTCCCATGTTGCAAGGTCGTTGCGGGGTCGCAGTCACGACACGTGGATGACCTTCTCCCATGTTGCAAGGTCGTCACGGGGTCGCAGTCATGACACGGGGATGACCTTCTCCCATGTTGCAAGGTCGTCACGTGGTCACAGTCACGACACGTGGATGACCTTGTCTCATGTTGGGCAAGGTCGTCACGGGTCGCAGTCATGACACGGAAGATGACGCTTCATGTTGGCAAGGTCACTCACGGGTCGCAGTCACGACACTGGGATGGCCTCCCATGTTGCAAGGTCGCAGAGTGTTGCCTAGGTCGCGGTTGTGACACGGCACTGACCTTTCACGCCGCTTTGTTTCAGGGTCGTGAGGTGCAGCGACCTACAGCTGGTGAGCGGCGCATGTGACCCTATGTGACGGTGACGGCGGTTTCAGCAACAAACAGGACACGCGGAAGAACGCGCGGTGCGCAAGCGGCACCGTCAGCCCACAGTACGACGACACGTTCGTCTACGAGGTGAGAGTCTCACTTAACCCGCGTTGTTATCCATAATCCCCTGATGCTAATCTTTAACCCTAACCCTAATCTTTATCTGCTAACCACAATCTTAGGATTACCCCTAACTGTAATCGTTAACCCTAACCCTAATCGCAACCCCTTATTTTAAAAATTCCAAAGAGACATGCTTATATGTAGAAAATCTTGTGTGTGTGTGTGTGTGTGTGTGTGTGTGTGTGTGTGTGTGTGTGTGTGTGGTGTGTGTGTGTGTGTGTGTGTGTGTGTGTGTGTGTGTGTGCGCGCGCGCCGGCACGCGCGCGCTGCGTGCGTGTGTGTATGTATGTGTGTATGTATGTAGTTCTATTGCATTGTCACACAACATAACCCTAACACGAATAAGTACGAGATGAGAGAGCTCGCGTTTCGGTGGTTATTATTTCCGTTCGTTTTTTAACAGAGGGGCACGCCGCTGTGGGCTCTCGCTATGTTAGGACCCCCCTCTCCCTTCGTATGTTCGTGGGTCATGCGGTGTTTGTCACACCTCACCAGCATAACTCTAACCCTAATCGCAGTCCCTAATTTTAAGCCGCTACCCTAATTCTAAGACCTACCCCTAACCATAACCTTAACGCTACACCCCAACACTAATCTTACACCCAAACTAAACTTTCTAACCCCCTCCTGTGGGTGCGCGTGCGTGAGCGAGCGAGCGTGAGGTGAGGTGAGATTCGATCCATCTAACATGGCGTCTCTGCGTGTGTTTCAGTTTCCGAGCGAGTGGGATTGTCCCGCGACGCCCTCCTCGCAACCATAGCAGAGCTGAGGTACGTGCACGTAACGACATCGCAGCGACGTCCCACACGATCACGCGTAAAATGCTAGCATTCGCTCGGTTCCAATGGCGACTTGTGGCATCCATAAGGTGTCTGTGTCGGTGTAAATAGGGGCCTAAGGTCGTGGTGATTTGATTGGGACTAATTTTTGATTTGTTCGTGGACACATACGCTGACAAGGGAGGCATGTGTTTCTGTTGAAAATGTGTTCGTGCTCGGTTTTCCCCAAAGACGGATCGAGTAGCGCTAATGGTCCACGCGTGAGCGGCGGATTCGTCGTCTCTCACGATTATCGATCGATCGCAGCGTTTAGCGTTGTTCGTTCGTTCCGCAAGGGTTGCCGTGTGGACGCGAACACAAACATCGATGATGGGGAACGTGTTCATGGCTGAGATCAAGCTGAGACTGAGTAACTTCGGCGACGACCTTTGCAAAGGTCACGACTCCTGTAAGGACGCCGCCTCCCCATTGTTGTAGCACCGAGCGAATCTGCCAGATCTTGTTTTCCTGCTGGGCGTCTATTGCCTCTGATGCCTGACTCGTGATTGTGGCGAGACGGATGTCTGGATGAGATTTATCTCTTTTTTTTCAGTGTATTTATTATTATTTCATTATATTTATTTTATTGTTTATTTATTCGTTATTTTATTTTTATTTAACAGATGCGACATTACACGATTGGCGTGCAAACACTTGTTTATTACATCACGCAGTCCGTGCAGTGTGTTCTTATGCTTTTGAAGCAGACCGTTGGCTGTGTTTCAGCCCCTCCTAACCCCGCCTCTAACACCGCATAATGGTTTGCGCTGTAATCTTTCTCTCTCCGATCTCTCCCTTGCAGGTATCTACTGCAGCCAGGAAGGAAATCTCTCAATGCCAGGTGGATTCTATCAATCCTTCTCCTCTCCCGATCTCCCCTGCATGTATCTACTGCAGCCCAGGAAGGAATCTCTCAATGCCAGGCCGATCCTATAATCTTTCTCTTTCCCGATTCTCTCCCTGCAGGTATCTACTGCAGCCCAGGAAGGAATCTCTCAATGCCAGGCGGATCCTATCATCTTTCCTTCTCTTCTTGATCTCTCCCTGCAGGTTATCTACTGCAGCCAGGGAGGAATCTCAACTGCTAGGCCAACGCTAGCCGGTACCTGCCGGCTACATCTGGTACCACAGCCGACCATGTGTTCAATAACTAGTCAATACTACTCGCCACTCAGGAACCTACTGCCTGAAGTCTGCTTCCCGTCAACGTGAGTGACCCTGCGAAACCTTGTTCCCGCAGCGACGAGACTTGATGTTAAATCGATCGTCTCTCGAATGAATGGAGAAATCTCTCCGTGAGAAATTCTTGCTTTAAAACCTATTTAGTCTCTGTGACAACCGGCCGCGGATTGGGTTGGCGCTGTTCGAATACATTCTGGCGGCGACCTGTCGAGAGGCTCATTGTTGGTCGTCAGTTTCGTGTCAGAAAGCGAAAAAAATAACACCAAGGGAAAAAACATCGTTTGGAGATTGTGATCAGCCGACACGCGTTGGCGAGAAATTGCGCACTCGAGCAATTTCTGGATATATATATATATATATATATATATATATATATATATAGCAGCTTCTACCGTCCGTCCATCTACACGTGCGCCGTTCCTCTGACCCACTGACCTTGTCCCTTGACCTTTGACCCCCTGCAGGCCAACCTGAAGTCGTACGTGCAGAAGATCCTGGACGCAGTAGTCAACTCGTCGCTCGTCTGTCCGAATGTGATGTCACAGGTGTTCTGCGGTCTCAAGCAGGCGGCCATCCGTCGCTTCCCAGGTACGTTCCATCGCCACGGTGACCAGCGCGCGCGTTCGCGTCCATTTCAGGGGCGGAACATGGAGCAGGGGTGGAAGCGGTGCATGTGCCCCACGCACCTTATATAGGGTTCATTCGTGATCTCTTCCGTCTCATGTTATCTCTCCTGTAAGGTTTTTGTCGTACTCTAAGGCGCTTATGCTCGTAGGCCTAGTACTATCAAAACAATATTTATTAAAACTCCATGTTTAATTATGACAACAGCAATGCGTGATTACGATGTTTAATAACAGGTAGTTAATCTTGGTGATTAATTAAGATGCGAGCGTCGGTGCAGCTCGGAGGGTTGACGACGCCGTGTTGCGATTGTTGCAGACAGCAAAGAGGTGCGCTACCTGGTGGTGAGCGGCTTCATCTTCCTGCGATTCTTTGCTCCGGCACTGATGTGTCCCAAGCAATTCGAGCTGACCACCGAGGTTCTTGTGAGTGTGGCGACCTCTGTGGGCCGGATTTTTGTTTAATTCGTTTTGTTTCCTTTTTCTTTTGTAAGAGAGTAGAGATTTTGTAAGCGATTTTAGCTTTCTCACGAAACCATGTCAGGTTAACCGATTTGTACGTGTTCAACTGCAGCAACCACTGTTATATTAGTTATATATTAGTTACAATAATTATATAATTGTTTATGTTATTACTGTGATCGGAAAGTGATGTTCCGTCTCTGCTGTCGTGTTTCAGGATTCACAGACTGTTCGTACTCTGACGCTCATCTCGAAAACCATTCAGAGTATTGGAAACATTGTCAGTGCGAAATCGGTAAGCTTCAGGTTGATGTTTAGGCGTTTTAAGCGTTGAGTTCAGTTTAAAAAAACAAACAAACATTTTGTAAGCAAAACTTACGTGACTTCATCCCAGAGTATAACATCAAACTTTGATGAACTCCAGCATTCTGTTTTATAACCATGATGGCATAATTGCAGAGTTTAGAAATAATTATCAGCTGAAGTAGTAGTGGCCCTAAAGTGAGAAAACAACTGTAGTGAATTAGCTTGTGATGCTATGGCATTGATTAAGTTGTGTGTGTGTGCGTGTGCAAACGTGTGTGCATGCCAGGTAATGTACATGTGTGCATGCGTGTAAATGTCATGTGTGTAAATCTATTTTCTACTGTAGCTTCACCATCCATTCAAGGAGAGTTACATGATGGAAATTCATCGAACATTTATGGATACCGAGCACATAGAAGCCGTTAGAAATGTAAGCAAAATCTTCTAGTTGTGATCAATCCATATTGGAAATCAGTTACAGAAGTGATCCGACCTATAGCCGATTTTGACACAAACCAATGACTAATGTATTTGCAGTGCTAAGGATCATCTTAAGTATCGCATATTAGACTCAATTTCATTTCGCGTCGAGCGCGTCGTGAAAGTAACTTGTCATTACAGGACGTTTTGTATTTCTTCTTGCAGTACCTAGATGTGATATCGTCAGCATCACGCACACACGTGAAGGGCATAGAAACACCTATTGTCCTTAAGGAAGGGTGAGTAATATACAGCCACTAGTCTGGCACCCTGATGTAACCATCGGTAATATGGTGCCAGTGTTGAAAATCGATAAAACAATAAATATTGTGATATGTTTGTTTGATATCCAGTTATTAATTTGTTGTTAGATTATATTCCTTAACGAGTCTTAAAATTTGCCATTCGAAATTAATTATAATATCTTTATTCAGCAGAACTTAGGTAGATGTAGTAGTTTGCTTATCATTGATTCATTACCTTTATTAGAAGTCATTTAAATTGAATCGTTAATGAATTATTGCATTGTTATTATATTTATGTATGTTGTGTTTTACAATGAGTTTATTGTATTGTTATTATCCTTATTGAAATTTATATATTATTCTTTGTTGTTCAGAGTGATGGTGAAGAGAGCACAAGGTCGAAAACGCTGGGGTGTCAAAAATTTCAAGAAAAGATTTTTCTGCTTGACAAACGAAAGCTTAACGTATTCAAAAAGCAAAGGCAAGTAGATTCCTTAAATTCCTTAACCAACCTTGTGTACGGTAAACTAAACGTCAAGTCAGTTGAAATTCATATGATTTGAATTGCGTACTGCAATTAACTTCTAACCTGTAATGTTACATTAATAATAAAGAAATTACTCTTGCAGGCCAGTCACCATTGTGTACGATTCCAATAGAAAACATAAGAGCAGTCGAGCGGCTTGAGGAGGATTCGTTCAAGATGAAAAATGTAAGTTCAAATTGTATCTGAGCTACACACTTTTTTGTTTATAAGAATCGTACTTTTTTTTTGAGCCTCGTGATTCTTAGAAAATCGACATTTTGAGCCTTAAATAATTCTTAAATAATTGTTGAAAAATCGACTTATATTTTCATTAAAACTGTTAAAAGTGTTGCAATCTTCAGCGAGGTGCTACGTTTACTAAACAACCGTTAGACCTTAGACAGTTGAGAGAAACATCGCAAAGTTAAGCGAATGAGAAAATTCCGTCAACGGTCTAAGATATAAAAAAAAGTACATGTTAAGACTAATGTCAAGACTAATTTTGTTACTGGCAACGGGCCACTGGTCCTGAGCTAGGCGAATCGCAAGCGTGTAGTGAGGTGTGTCGGGGACAGTGTGAATCTTCGGCGTTTTTTCGTGTGAAAGGCGCAGTACGGCATGATGAGTGGTACGGGTTCACAAGTTAGACAAGTGTTACGCTCGCCATTGTTCCCCCGCTATACTATTAGATGGTGTCAGGTTTCGGTCAATCAAGCCCCCCTCTTCTGCTCTCACATTATGCTTTTACCTCCTTGCTTGCAGGGCAAGGCACGTCTGCAGCTGAGGATGTATCAGCCAAGCAACCTGGGGTGCAACCACCTTGCCGTGAGGTACGTGTAGGTAGACATTAATGCGAGACAGGTAAGATTAACGCACGCAGGTTTGGATCTAACGTGGTTAGTTCAATATTCTGCGGGCGCGGATGGACTGGAGGGAGATCTTATAATAGCCGATCTAGAAGACCGCCCAGTTCGGGTGCGGAAAATTGTGCGCGCGTGCATGTGTGGGTTCTAGCGTGCACGTGTGCGTGAACGTGTGTTTGTGTGCGCATACGTGTCTGTGGGCGCGTGCAGGCATAGGTCTGTGCGTGCGTGCATGCGTGTTTATGCAAGGTTTACGTTCTCGTCGATTTCTGCTGGGCACTGCTCTAAAGGTTTTCCCGTCAATAAACGCCCGGGCGCATCAGCAGGCATGATTTATACGCGCACACTTCACGGTTTACATTCGGCCCGGCTTTTATTGAGTAGCGAACGCTCGGGCGGCTTTTTTGTGGGGGCGGTTTTTTGTGCGCGTGCAGTCATCGTTTATCACCGCGCTGCCGTTATTTATGTGCTTGCATTATACGGCCGTTTCACTAGCGAATGATATATAATAGGTGTGTGTGTGTGTGTGTGTGTGTGTGCGTGCGTGCGTGCGTGCGTGCGTGCGTGCGTGAGAAGGCATTAGATGCAGGCTTGAGATCTGTGGTGCCACATACACAGGGAGAGAGAAAGCACGCGAAAGAGAAGGAGAGAGAGAGAAAGAGAAAGAGAGAGAGAGAGAGAGACAAACGGCGAGCAAGGGTCTGCAAGGTCAGTGTAGGGGGAACAATGGATACACACTTTTTTTTATAAGAATTCTTTTTATAAGAATCACCGAGGCTCGATTTTCCAAATTTTAAGAATTTTTTAAGAATAATGCTGAGGCTCGATCATCAGACACACATTGTCACTCGATTCAACGAGGGTACACGATGGCATGATGCCCTAGCGGCAGTGACGCCACGAGTACGGATAAAATCTTCAGCAATTTTGAGCTTGATTGCCCACTAAACCATTCCAGATTGCAACACTTTAACAGTTTTAATGAAAATATAAGTCGATTTTTCAACAATATTTAAGAATTATTTAAGGGCTCAAAATGTCGATTTTCAAGAATCACGAGCGCTCAAAAAAAAAAGTATGATTCTTATAAACAAAAAAAGGTGTAGCTCAAGTACAATTTAACTTACATTTTTCATCTTGAACGAATCCTCCTCAAGCCGCTCGACTGCTCTTATGTTTCATTGGAATCGTAACAATGGTACTGGCCTGCAAGAGTAATTTCTTATTATTAATGTAACATTACAGGTTAGAAGTTAATTGCAGTACGCAATTCAAATCAATGAATTTCAAACTGACTGACGTTTAGTTTACCGTACACAAGGTTGGTTAAGGAATTTAAGGAATCTACTTGCCTTTGCCTTTTGAATACGTTAAGCTTTCGTTTGTCAAGCAGAAAAATCTTTTTCTTGAAATTTTTGACACCCCAGCGTTTCGACCTTGTGCTCTCTTCACCATCACTCTGAACAACAAAGAATAATATATAAATTTCAATAAGGATAATAACAATACAATAAACTCATTGTAAAACACAACATACATAAATATAATAACAATGCAATAATTCATTAACGATTCAAATTAAATGACTTCTAATAAAGGTAATGAATCAATGATAAGCAAACTACTACATCTACCTAAGTTCTGCTGAATAAAGATATTATAATTAATTTCTAAATGCAAATTTTTAAGACTCGTTAAGGAATATAACCTAACAACAATTAATAATCGATATCAAACAACATCACAATATTAATGTTTTTATCATTTTCAACACTGGCACCATTATTACGATGGTTACATCAGGTGCCAACTAGTGCTGTATATTACTCACCCTTCCTTAAGGACAATAGGTGTTTCTATGCCCTTCACGTGTTGTGATGCTGACGATATCACATCTAGGTACTGCAAGAAGAAATACAAAACGCCCTGTAATGACAAGTTACTTTCACGACGCGCCGACGCGAAATGAATTGAGTCTAATATCGATACTTAAGATGATCCTTAGCACTGCAAATACATTAGTCATTGGTTTGTGTCAAAATCGGCAAGCATTTTCGGCTATATATCACTTCTGTAACTGATTTCCAATATGGATTGATCACAACTAAGATTTTGCTTCATTTCTAACGGCTTCTATTTGCTCGTATCCATAAATGTTCCATGAATTTCCATCATGTAACTCTCCTTGAATGGATGTGAAGCTACAGTAGAAATAGATTTACACACATGACATTACACGCATGCACATATGTACATTACCTGGCATGCACACACAACTTAACAATGCCATAGCATCACAAGCTAATTCACTACAGTTGTTTTCTACTTTAGGCCACTACTACTTCAGCTGATAATTATTTCTAAACTCTGCAATTATGCCATCATGGTTATAAACAGAATGCTGGAGTTTCATCAAAGTTTGATGCTATACTCTGGGATGAAGTCACGTAATTTTGCTTACAAAAGGTTTGTTTGTTTTTTTAACTGAACTCAACGCTTAAAACGCCTAAACATCAACCTGAAGCTTACCGATTTTCGCACTGACAATGTTTCCAATACTCTGAATGGTTTTCGAGATGAGCGTCAGAGTACGAACAGTCTGCTGAATCCTGAAACACGACAGCAGAGACGGAACATCACTTTCGATCACAGTAATAACATAAACAATTATATAATTATTTGTAACTAATATATAACTAATCGTACCTAATATATAATATATCTAATATATAATAAATAATATAATATATTATATATATTAATAATATATAATATATAATATATAATATATAAACTAACGTACAAATCGGTTAACCTGACATGGTTTCGTGAGAAAGCTAAAAATCGCTTACAAAATCTCTACCTCTCTACAAAGAAAAAGAAAAAAAACGAATTAAACAAAATCCGCCACAGAGGTCGCCACACTCACAAGAACCTCGGTGGTCAGCTCGAATTGCTTGGACACATCAGTGCCGGAGCAAGAATCGCAGGAAGATGAAGCCGCTCACCACCAGGTAGCGCCACCTCTTTGCTGTCTGCAACAATCGCAACACGGCGTCGTCAACCCTCCGAGCTGCACGACGCTCGCATCTTAATTAATCACCAAGATAACTACCTGTTATTAAACATCGTAATCACGCATTGCTGTTGTCATAATTAAACATGGAGTTTTAATAAATATTTTTGATTATACTAGGCCTACGAGCATAAGCGCCTTAGAGTACGACAAAACCTTACAGGAGAGATAACATGAGACGGAAGAGATCACGAATGAACCCTATATAAGGTGCGTGCGGGCACATGCACGCTTCCACCCCTGCTCCATGTTCCGCCCCTGAAATGGACGCGAACGCCGCGCGCTGCACCGTGGCGATGGAACGTACCTGGGAAGCGGAGGATGGCCGCCGCTTGAGACCGCAGAAGCACCTGTGACATCACATTCGACAGACGGCGACGACTTGACTACTGCGTCATGATCTTCTGCACGTACGACTTCAGGTTGGCCTGCAGGGGTCAAAGGTCAAGGACAAGGTCAGTGGGTCAGAGGAACGGCGCACGTGTAGATGGACGGACGCGTAGAAGAAGTGCCATATATATATATATTATATATATATATATATATACATGCATCTCACAATGCATGGACAGACTTTAACAAGCTACTCATTACAATCTAATGCATCTCGCTTCGCCCGATAACTCTACCATGTTCCATCCAAATTCTCGATGTCTCGCAGCTTCAGCGGATCGATCTCGCAAGGTTTTCCGTTCCATGATAATCTGGCAGAGCAACAAACAAAGCAAAATACAATCCAGAACATTTCCCAACAAACTTGTGAGTTATATCTGACACGAGTGCAGAAAGAAGCAGAGCAATCAACGTCAACACACCAGGATCT